TTCAGAAAAATCATGCTTTGCGTTTTCCAGAATTGTCTAACCTACCATCGACCGTGAGTCACGCTGTATAGTCTTTAAAAAAAAAACAAACATTTTATATATTTTTTAACATTTTATGTATTCATAAACATGACACCCTTTGTCGACAAAATGTTTATTCATCTTCATTCACTGAGGAAAAAGTACAAAATAGTGTATATGATTGAGGTGATGTAAGTAGATAAAATAACTCCAAATATGAATATCTAATTGGGTGATATGCGCATACGTCTGCTCTCATACACACATATATTAAACAATCACAAGGAACAGGAAAGATTCCATTCGTTTCTGTTCATGACTAGAAACCAATACACAAATTTCTCGTGGGTAAAAGCTTGAACTGTTTCTACTGTTCCCTTATTATAATCAAATAATCACCGGTTTCGTTGTCTTTGAGCAGAATACTTGCTTCCGTTGTGTTTGTATATTCACAACGCAAAGTTTTCCTCTAGAATTTTGACCAATATCAAATCTATTTTCATATGAAAAACAATAATTTATTGACATTTATAGAGGCAGAAGTTCAGTTTCGTACTACATGAACATCCTGACTATGGATGGCAACCAAGACTGTCTTCCAGAGCTTTTATCTCCCTACTGAACAATCTAACCTCTATCAGGATCAAAGGTATCTACAACTATCACGGGGAAGGATTCTTAGATGATGTGAAATTGGAGACGGCTTTGAGAGGCGTAGCAGGAATGCCTGTACACTGGATTGAATCATGTGATTGCCCTGCAGGTATAGATTATCAGTTCGATGCAACAAAATCATTTTTCCAGAATGACAAACTTGTATAACACTCACTTTTTTATTAGGAAAAGTTAACAGTTCGGAAATATAATGGACTGCAAAGGTGATGATGTTGATGATTATCATAATAATATCGTAGAAGTTCCATTGAGTGAGTTTAAAGATTACCACTCACAATATTTCATAGATAATAATCTATCTACTACAATGATACATAGGAAGATAGATAGATAGATTTTTATTTAGGTCGATGTCAACGATATCAACAATATCAACGTCCTTGCGAAGAATCCTTAAGAACCATACCGTCTACAGTAGACTCAAAGTAGACGGTCTACTTTGAGTTTGCTAAATATCAATCAAGTTCATATGTAAGATAATTTTATTTCCTCGTATAATCATTGAATGATTTTGATTGAATGATGAATATCATATCGGTTAATGAGAATCGGTTATGAGAATCGGTTATGAGAATGCAAAAGTTATATCAAAATCTAACAAAAGTTTGAAATATCTATAGAAAGTGAAAACTGAGACTAGCACATGGGAAGTCATTTGGTATCATCGGTACCTATTATAAATTTTCATTCGTTTTAGGTTACGTGGGACAGTTCTGTGAGTCCTGCGCTCCTGGATTCAGACATTCACCATCTTTGGGTGGTTCCTTTATGCCGTGCGTACCGTGTGACTGTAACAACCACGCTAGTATCTGCGATTCCGAAACTGGAAAATGCATTTGTCAACACAATACTATAGGAGAAAACTGTGAAATGTGTGCAAAGGGGTANCGAAACATAAAATAGATAAATATAATTTAAAAATTCTCCATACATGCAAAAAAGGGGCAATGATGAATTTGTTGGAATCTATGGCAATAAACAAATCAAAGAAACAACTTGATCTAAACAATAGACTTCTTCTGAACCTATAACCCAGTTTCCAAAACCTACATTTTATAAAAAAATTGTTATGTTCATCGATATACTGTTATTGTTTAAGATTATCCCAGCTAAAGACAATGTAGGTATCAAATTATTTATGATAGGTATAGACAATGTAGCTATGAATACTCAGATTTGAATATAATCTAGTTAGTATTGAAAATGTTGTAATGACCGAAACTAGTCAACAAATATAAAACTTTCGTGGAAAATAGACGAAAGTGTGTTTTTATAGTGTATCTTCACCTTCCATTTGCTCATATCGAGCAAATGATATACCACTCGACCCCACTTTCCGTTTAAAATTTTAGGGTTGTTACCCACCCTTGCTAGGGGGTTGAAGGCACAGGTAGAAAAATACATCTAAAATGTGTCCCCCTCAAAAGCAAAATTGACCTATCCGAGCATGTTTGCGTTAAGAACAAAAAAGGAGAAAAGCAAGGTGCATACTTTTCGTTGGACCACTCTGTATGTCTGAATTCGATGGAAACAGTATTTTTCATATCAATAAATATTTCCATCAGAAAAATATAACATCATTATTTTAGTGCTTTAATCCTACGAAAATCTCGACGATAATTATAAAATATAATGACAATAGAAATGAGTACAGAACTGTACACTAGGTACTCAACAATTTCATTTCAATGATAATTTGGACTTGAAAGTTTTGTATATTTTCCAAGGGTTACATATGTACAGGGTGTCCCTGGACTTCCTCTTTTCCTCTCGGGAATGTATAGATGGGGTCAAAATATCACCAGTACTTCATATAACTTTTTTTCCT